AATTGTGTGAGTCATCCCAGCAGTTTTCAGTCATACCAACTAGATTGAATTTGTGCTCATAAACTAGCAATTCCAGTTCCTCTGGTTTGTTACCCAGACTCCTAGCATTGGTTTATAGGCAATTAAAGAATTTCTTCTCTTCATGCCCCTTGGTTTCGTGATTCATTTTGTTCTCAACATATTGATTTTGTGCTAAATGATTGGTCATATCTCCCCTCTTTTTACCCTCCCCTTTTGTTTAATGCCCTCCTGCCTACTCTAGCCATCCTATCCCCAAAGAGATTGATTTCTCCTCTACTGAGATGGAGGCCATCCAAACAATATGGCCCCTGTGACGGGTTCGGTCACAGTGACCCCGTTGGGACTGTCACCTGATGTGTTTGTGTTTTCCCTGACAGCTTGGGACTTCAGAACCCTGCCTTGTTGAGCCAGACATGCTAGCCTGCTGGAAACACAGACTCAGGTCTGAACCATGTCCCCAAAGCTACAGACTTAACTGAAAACATCTTAAGAAGTGCCTTCATTGTTTCGGGCCTGACTCACAAGAAGGCTTGCAAGTAAACAGAGCCATTTACAACCAATTGTCCTAGTTGATGGGAGCCATCAAGATTCCAAACCACCATTAATGGCCCACACTTTGCATAATTACAATAGGACCTCAGTTATATTTCATATTTCTAGTTTCAGATACAAGAATGATACATTTATACAAACAGGATGACCACACTCAGTAGATTATAAGCTTTGTAATGATACCTTACAAGAGACCTTTTGCATGAAGCATATTCCAGTTACATTATATTCACACTCATTAACGTATTTTCATAAAATCATATGGAGTGCAATGTCACATCCTCCTACTGAACTTACTGCCAGACACTTGGATGCTGTCCATGGCGGAGGCAGTATACCTAAAATTCCTCTTTGAGCTCCCCTCTGGGGCAGACATTCCTGTGTTGCCCAAAAGGGAAGGTGACCCTGATGCAGCTGTAGGCTCACAGCTACCAGCTATGACAGACCCTTCACTGGCCAGCAAAATCCCCCCCCCCTTTTTCACTCAGGTTGGGCTTGCTTCCAACTGCAGAGTCCTTGGGGTCTGTTCCCACCGCAGCAGTCACCAGGACTCCAACTCCAGGATACATGTCTCTGTGCACCTCTTCCACTCCATTACAGCAAGTTCATGCTTTTGGGTCTCAATTTGTCCTTGTCTCTGGGCCTCAATTTCTTTGTCTTTTAAGTCCAGGGTTTGCTGGTGGGCAGCCTTTTCCTGGCAAATTGCACATCAATTTCCGTTTGTCTTCCCTTGAGGCCATCACTTGATGAGCTGGGATACCACAGAGAACCCCCTTCTGCCAGAACAGGCACCCCTCCACTCCTGTCTTGCTGAGTTAGACACTTCAGTCAACTTCAGCACAGACCCAGAGGTTGGGCCACACCTCTCTGCAGTTCACTGAAACTGAGATCCACTCAGCTCAGGGGTTTCTTAGTTAACAGAGACTTTCCCAGTGCCCAGTGTTTAGCCTTTCTGGGCAATTTGCAACCTTAACCAAAATAGGCAAACAGAAAATAACAAACCAGCAACCACTTTGTCTGTTATCCAGCCAACACACTTAAAACTCACTTAAAATCACTATCAGCATTTCAAAGCAATCAGCTGTGCACAGATCCTGTTTGACTACACCACTGTGACGGGTTCGATCACAGAGACCACCTTGGGACTGTCACCTGGTGTGCTGAGACTACCTCCGAGCCCGTTTTCCCTGCAATCTTGGGACTCCAGAACCCTGTCATGTTGAGCCAGACACGCCAGTCTGCTCCAACACAGACCCAGGTCTGAACCACGTCCCCAAAGCTGCAGACTTAACTGAAAACAGCTTAAGAAGTGCTCCTGTCTCTAACACCCAGACGCCCAGTTCCCAATGGAATCCAAACCCCAAATAAATCCATTTTACTCTGTATAAAGCTTATACAGGGTAAACTCATAAATTGTCCGCCCTCTATAACACTTTTAGAGAGCTATGCACAGCTGTTTGCTCCCCCAGATATTAATTGCTTTTTCTGGGTTAATTACAGTAACTCCTTGCTTAACGTTGTAGTTATGTTCCTGAAAAATGCAGCTTTAAGCGAAAGGATGTTAAGCGAATCCAGTTTCCCCATTAGAATTAATGTAAATGGTGGGGGGGGGGGGGTGTTAGGTTCCAGGGAAATTTTTTTCACCAGGCAAAAGGCATACATATATATCTATATATGCACACACACACAGAGTATAAGTTTTAAACAAACAATTTAATACTATACACAGCAATGATGATTGTGAAGCTTGGTTGAGGTGGTGAAGTCAGAGGGTGGGATGTTTCCCAGGGAATACATTACTGCTAAATGATGAACTAGCACTCAGTGAGCCCTCAAGGGTTAACACATTGTTGTTAATGTAGCCTCACACTCTACAAGGCAGCACAAATGGAGGGAGGGGAGACAGCATGGCAGACAGAGAGACACACCCTGTGTGTGTGTGTGAGAGAGAGAGAGAGATGCGCATTGCTCCTTTAAGTACGCTGACCCCACTCTAAGTACATTGCCTTTTTAAGTAGATCAGCAAGTTGAGGCAGCAGCTGCTGCCAGCAAGCTCCCTCCGTCCTGAGCCCTGTTGTGTCCCCCCCGCTCTATGGAGATAGGGTGAGCAGGGGGGAGAGGTATACCCTGACATTAGCCCCCCACTTCCGCCCCCCTCCCCACACACACACAGCAAGCAGGAGAGTCCCGGGAGCAGCTCCAAGACAGAGGGCAGGAGCAGTACATGGTAGTGGGGGGAGGGACAGCTGAACTGCCAGCAATTGATAGCCTGCTGGCGGCTGCCTCACAGGGAACTTAGGGGAGCAGAGAGCTGATAGGTCAGTCCACCCTGGTTCCAAGCCTCCACCAGCTAGCTCCAACGGGCTGCTCTTTCTGCAAGCAGTGGACAAAGCAGGCGGCTGCCAAACAATGTTATAAGGGAGTATTGCACAACTTTAAACGAGCAGGTTCCCTAATTGATCAGCAACGAAACAACGTTAACCGGGACGACTTTAAGTGAGGAGTTACTGTAATAAGAGTGATTTTATTAAGTATAACAAGTAGGATTTAAGTGGTTCCAAGTAATAACAGACAGAACAAAGTAAGTTACCAAGCAAAATAAAACAAAAACACACAAGTCTAAGCCTAATACATTAAGAAACTGATCACAGATAAATCTCACCCTCAGAGATGTTTCAATAAGCTTCTTTCACAGACTAGACTCCTTTCTAGTCTGGGCCCAATCCTTTCCTCTGGTACAGTCCTTGTTCCAGCTCAAGATTTCTCATGACTGCAGCCTCCTTTGTTCTGTTCCATCCCCTTATATAGCTTTGGCACAAGGCAGGAATCTGTTGTCTCTCTGGGTCTCCACCCCTCCTTCTAAATGGAAAAGCATCAGGTTTAAGATGGATTCCAGTACCAGGTCACATGTCCTGTGAGACCCCAAGCCTTCATTCTTCCTGACCTGACTCACAGGAAGGCTTGCAAGTAAACAGAGCCATTTACAACAAATTGTCCTAGTTGATGGGAGCCATCAAGATTCCAAACCACCATTAATGGCCCACACTTTGCATAATTACAATAGGACCTCACAGTTATATTTCGTATTTCTAGTTTCAGATACAAGAATGATACATTTATACAAATAGGATGACCCCACTTAGTAGATTATAAGCTTTGTAATGATGCCTTACAAGAGACCTTTTGCATGAAGCATATTCCAGTTACATTATATTCACACTTAGTAGTATATTTTCATAAAATCATATGGAGTGCAACATCACAGCCCCCTCTCCCAAAATAAGGTGACTTGTGTTCCACAAACCATAATCCTTCACCCCTCAACTAGCGAGCTAACTTCCAGAATCTTCTGCTTTCTGTCTTCCTTCACTGGTGGGGCAGGAAGGCTCTCAGAGAAGACTGTTTAGACTTCGAGTTCTGTGAACTCATCTATTATCTGCAAGATATCCTGCGACATAGTGTCATTAATGCCAATATGAACCATCACCAATGGATCCTTGCCCATCAACTTCAGAAGTTTATCCAATCTTGAGTGACGTCTTGTGTCTTGGCTCCGGGAAATCAATCTGCCATTCTGATGTCTGCCTTTGATTTGTAGAGTGTTCTTTCGATTCCTCTGAGCATTGAATCCCTGGCAACTATTGTCTGTCTTTCGTGAACAGTTGGAGAACTCTTTGTGGGCAAGCTTGATCTCAGGAACTCCTTAACAAAATTTCCCAAAATTTACATCACTAACCCTACCTTGGGTCTCAATGAGACATAGCAATTTTCTAGACAATCTGAATACGGACATATAACAATAAAAAAGCAAATACAGTACAGTATTGTTTAAACATAAACACTTTAAAAAAAGGGAAAGTTAAAAAAAAAGATTTGACAAGGTAAGGAAACTGTTTCTGTGCTTGTTTCATGGGGGAGGGATAGCTCAGTGGTTTGAGCATTGGCCTGCTAAACCCAGGATTGTGAGTTCAATCCTTGAGAGGGCCATTTAGGGATCTGGGGCAAAAATCTGTCTGGGAATTGGTTCTCTGAACAGGGGGTTGGACTAGATGATCTCCTGAGGTCCCTTCCATCCCTGATATTCTATGATTCACTTAAATTAAGATGGTTAAAAGCAGCATTTTTCTTCTGCATAGTAAAGTTTCACAGCTGTATTAAGTCAATGTTCGGTTGTAAACTTTTGAAACATGAATCATAACATTTTGTTCAGAGTTACGAACATCCTCCATTCCAAAGGCATTCATAATTCTGAGGTTCTGCTGTAACTGTTCACTGTATTCTGAAAATCACCTTTCAGGAAGTCCTTGGGGGGCATTCATCTATGTTATGAGGGTAATAGTTGGTCTGAAATGCAGATATGTACTAACCAGACTCTGTAATACCACATGTTGTGCAGGCTAGATGCTAAGTATTATCTTTTATTGCAGATTACCAGTTGCAAGGTCAGCTCATGGTGCAACAGTGTATAGTGACAAACTGTGGATCTTTGCAGGATATGATGGAAATGCACGGTATGTAGCAAAATCGCTCTCCTAATTCTTTTGTTTTGTAATATCTTTCCAATCATTCAATTGCATCTCTGTAGAAATCCTTTCTCACTGTGAGGGAGCATTGCCAGCAGATTGAAGGAAGTGATTATTCCTCTCTATTCGGCACTGGTGAGGCCACATCTGGTGTATTGCATCCAGTTTTTGGCCCCCCACGACAGAAAGGATGTGAACAAATTGGAGAGAGTCCATTGGAAGGCAATGCCGACCCATGATTTATGAGGAGAGGCTGAGGGAACTGGGCTTATTTAGTCTGCAGAAAAGAAGAGTGAGGGGGGATTTGATAGCAGCCTTCAACTACCTGAAGGGCGGTTCCAAAGAGGATGGAGCTAGGCTGTTCTCAGTGGTGGCAGATGACAGAACAAGGAGCAATGGTCTCAAGTTGCAGTTGGGAGGTCTAGGTTGGATATTAGGAAAAACTTTTTCACTAGGAGGGTGGTGAAGCACTGGAATGGGTTCTCTAGGGAGGTGGTGGAATCTCCATCCTTAGATGTTTTTAAGGCCTAGCTTGACAAAGCCCTGGCTGGGATGATTTAGTTGGGGTTGGTCTTGCTTTGAGCAGGGGGTTGGACTAGATGACCTCCTGAGGTCTCTTCCAACCCTAATCTTTTATGATAAACAGTAATGGGAGCTTCCCTAGGTTTGGTCTTTTGTTTCAAATGGAGTAAGCATGTTTTTATTCATCAATACCTTGTTCAAATAGATAAATATGTTAAAAATAATAAGCTGATATCTGACAATATGCCTGTGATGGGCTGTATATTCCCAGGGTAATGCTTGGGGACAGGTGAAATTCCCTGAAGTGAGGGAAAGGAACATTCCTTGCCATGCTAAGAGGTAACAAGAGCGTCTGATGCTGTTGAAAACTCACTGAACAGAACAAGAATTTTCTGGGGGGCATCCCTGACAAGATAAAAGGGGGAACAGTATGTTCAATCTTATGCCTTGGTGGCACTTGTTACTATTGGTAACGGCCTAACTGAAAATGCTGGAACTGCTTGTTTATAAAGCAGATCAATGCTGAGTGAGGGAGCAGAACTAGTTGGTTTTTAGAGGTATTTTATGGTGGGTGGTCCTTCCCTTCTGGTGTCAGTCACACAGCAAAAGAGTATGAAATTTGTTGCTCAGCCCCTCCCCTTTCAGGTACTCTGTCTCCTCACCTTCTGTCTGTGTCTTGGTGAAGTTGAAATGTCCAGGCCATCTTTAGGCCTCAGTCACAGGATTTAGAACTAAGCACAAACTGCAAGGTACCTTGAGTGCTGGGCTCCCACTAGCCCTTTGGTGGCTTAGTGGGACCCCTGCTAGTGACCAGGGTGCCTGAAATGTTTTGGAGCTCTTCTGCTATATCGAGTTTTGGACAGCAGAAAGAAAAAGGAAGTACCCCCCCCCACACACACACACACTGCCTTAAGGCACTCCCTCTTTCCCGAGAGAGAGCACCTTCTTTCTGGGGTCATTGCCTCAATCTGAAGTCTTTCTGCTCTCCCCTCTGAAGGTTCAAGCTCCCTTTCTTTCTTCAGAGAGCTCCCTATGTGAGCTCGTGCTCTGAGGTTTCCCTGCTTTCATTATCTCCAAGGATCTTTTTGCAGCTATTTACATAATGAGAGACTTCTCATACATCTGACAGACCTCCTCCTGGTACACCTTTTCATTTAAAAAACAGTGGACTTGGGACATGCTGCTCTGGGTACAGCCTCATCTCTCCTTAAAATTTACTAAAACACAAGCTAAGACCCCAAGTTCCAGGATCTCTGGAATTTTCAGCCCAAAGTCAACTCAGCAATGATTTCTCATCAGTCCAGTCCTGGGGAGCAAACCAGTACTTTTAAATTGAGGTTCCTGGTACTTTCCCTCAGGGGAACCAGGCTGTTGTTGACATCTTGGATTCTGTAGTAGTAGATCCCATTTTTCTGTCAAGAAATCCCCTGCCAGCTACTGGGCCAATCCATGAAGGTCCCACCCAGGGCCGGCTCTAGGATTTTTGCCGCCCAAAGCAAAAACAATTTTGGCCTCCCCCCCCCTCCGTTTTTTAATTACCCCACCCCCGGCCCCACCTCAACTCCGCCCCTTCCCCAAATCCCCAGCCCTGCCTCCTCCCCCCAGGCTCTCAAGCCTAGGAGGGAGGGAGGGGGAGAAGCGGCGGCCACTCGGGATCTCCCCCTCCCTCCCAGGTTTGAGAGCCTGGGAGGGAGGGGGAGACCCTGAGCGGCCGCGGCGTGGGCGCCGCTTCTCCCCCTCCCTCCCAGGTTTGAGAGCCTGGGAGGGAGGGGGAGCAGTGGCCGCGGCCGCTTGGGATCTCCCCCTCCCTCCCTCCCAGGTTTGAGAGCCTAGGAGGGAGGGGGAGACCCCGAGCGGCCGCGGCGCGCGAAACAGCTGATTCGCGCACCGCTGCTCCCCCTCCCTCCCAGGCTTGAGAGCCTGGGAGGGAGGGCGAGTAGTGGCGTGTGAATCAGCTGTTTCGCGCGCGGTGGCGAGGTAGGGCGGCCGGGGCACATTTTTAAGGACGGCATTCTAGGCGCCGGCCATGCCGCCCCTAAAAATGTGCCGCCCCAAGCACCAGCTTGTTTTGCTGGTGCCTAGATCCGGCCCTGGTCCCACCAGTAGCCCTTTCAGGAATCTGGCCTCCAAACCAAGGCCAGACTGAGTCCTGCCTGACTCTCTCCCCCTTCTCAGTCTCCACAGTGCTTGGATGGACCACTTCCCTGTTCCTGAATCAGTGGTCCAGAGTCACCTTGGACCTTTCTGTTCTCTCCATCACTGAGATGGGGGTTCTTTATAGAATTTCAAGACCCTACTCTCAACCCTGCCATCCCTTAGAACTGCAGAAAAGAGAAAACTTGCTTCTTACCCATCATCCACTGGGCGCATGGACTGTCCTTCTGCTCACTTGGTCAGGTCAGCCTTCAGTGAAATCCACAGTGCCTTCTAAATCCTGGCTTTGGCAGCCCTCATTTTGTTACTGCAGGAAGCCCCTACATGGTTCAGTGTAGATTGAGGCCCCATTGTGCTAGGTGTTATACATACACATAGTAACAACTATTTCTTGCCACAAAGACCTTGCAGTCTAAACAAATAAAACATACAAAGGATGGGAGAAAGTTAGTATTGATTGTATTTGTTAAGTGCAAAGTGCAAACCATCAGAACATAAGAATGACCATACTGGGTCAGACCAAAGGTCCATCTAGCACAGTATGCTGTCTTCTGACAGTGGCCAATGCCAGGTGCTTCAGAGGGAATGAACAGAACAGGTAACCATCAGGTGATTCATCCCCTGTTGCCCATTCCCAGCTTCTGGCAAACAGTAATATATACAGTTGGTGCTTTAAAAGGGCCAGTTTCACAAAGGTGAAAACAATCATGAGCCAAATCAGTTAGGTGAGAGAATTTAAACAGAAAAATGTGAATGATAATTGGGAATTGTTTCAGAATATTTTTCTAGATTCTCTCAACGCTACCAGCTACACTGGTTAAAAAACAGCCTGGTTTAGATGGGAAATAAAAGAAGATGCACACGCAAGGGGAAATTGATGATAATAAATATAAATAAAAAACTAGGAATTGTAGAAAATTGATAAGGAAAGCAAAAGGACACAAGGAACAGTCCAAGGCCATCAGAGTTAAGGACACTAAAGAGTTTGTAAAGTATATTAGGAACAAAAGGAACCCTCATAATGGTATTGGTTCTTTAGTAGATGGAAATTAGGTTAGGAATTGTCAATAATAATTAGCATGGGCAGAATTAATTTTTTAAAATAATTTTGACAGATAATTAGTTTATTTTTAAGCATTTAAAAAAATTTAAAGAATTATTTTAATGTTCACAGTTGCACAAAATTATGAGTTTTAATAAACATTTTAAAATTTATTTGTATTGATTAACATTTTTTCAGTTGTGGGAAATTAGGGGCCATGTCAGACAGTAATTATTGGATAACAGTAGATGTTGAGATTCGAAAAATTAAACCTTTATAACAGCTAAAACACAAATTGTCAACATCGCATGTCCAAATATAGAAAGTAAATATCCTTAAATCAAACTCTTAATGAAATTCTTAAGCAGCGTTTTTCTTACTTTGCCCATCTGTAAATTTTGATTATTATTGATGGAAATATTTCTTTGTGAGATTGTGTTTGTACTGTGAAATTGACATTTGCCGACCTTTACTAATACAGATTTAGTCCTTCCAATCCTAATAATAATGCAGAAAAGGCAGAAGTGTCCAGGACTTTTCTGCTCTGTATTTGGGGAAAAGGCTGCTGCTGATGAAGAAATACTTTCAATCTGAACAATAACTGAGGATGTTCGATAGTATTTCTCAAAGTTCAACATTTTTAAATTAGGGGTCCAGATAACTTAGACTTCTGTAAAGCATTTAACCTTGTAGCACATGACATTTTGATTAAGAAACTAGAAGAATATAAACTGAACATAGCAGACATTAAATGGATTAAAGACTGGTTAACTGACAGGTCTCAAATGGGAAATCATCATTGAGCGGGTATGTTTTTTAGTAGGGTCCTATTGTGATGGGATCCCCAGGGTATGACCTGGAATTGTGGGACAGCCGTGCCCCTTAACTCTTCAGCCTGGACAGTCTCTCACAATGCTTTGCTAGTGACAAGCAGCAAACCACTCCAGGTGCTATCATCACTCAGCCACCAGCATACAGAGATACCCAGCTAAGTTGCACGAATGCTCTCTAAGGCACGAATGAACTAATACAGAGGGAAACACCAGCCAATCGCTCCAGCCTTGCACCCCAGAAATGTACCGTCTTACACTGCTCAAGACTTTCAGTTGAACAATGCAAGCTCCTTAATTAGTTACTCCTGGGGGAATTCAGCACCACTGTGCTTGTGCACAATTCATGTCCCGTGCAGATTTCTTTGCTTCCCTGCAGAAAATGATGGGGAAGCAAAGGAAAGCCGCAAGAGCGGTCACACACCCCTCCTTAGCAGTGC